ACTTGAAACGTCTTTGCACTGTAATCCTGAATTGCACATCGCAAACTCGAGAACACAAAATGATTTTTGCTGCGTAGTAGCCGTTTTAAACATGTGACGGTTACCACGCAAAACAGAAGACAGCTGACATCTAGCGGCTATTAATATAAACTAGACTGCGTATTCGTTTCGGCAATAGCCGAGCCGAGGCGCAGTGATCGAGAGTTTGGACAAAATAACACTTTGTAATACATATATTCTTTTTGAAACACGGAGTATATACGTAGTACTGAAATAATCAAACACCATTTTTTTTTTTCCTATTCATGCTTACTTTTCTTTCTATTTAATGCTTATACAATATATAATACTCATTATTATTTATTCAAATAAACATGTAGACAGAACTAAGTTATGGATATTTATTTAAATAAGCATCAGCTTAAAATTAGGCAAGAAAGGGCTAATTAAAATTAGGCTAAATTAACGTAGCTTAATGGATTTGATTATTTATTAATAGAACAGAATAGTTGCTGTTGCTTATTTATCTTAATTACAATGAAACAATTTTCTTGATATCATGTTAACAACATCAAAGATTAAATATGGTGACACTATGATTAGTATTAGTTAATTAACCCTTTGAAGGGCACCGGTATATAATATATACCGGTTGTTTGTCAATTTTTTAACCTCCGAAAAAATGCTAATTTTTCTACACCAAAAGCTATAATCGTAAGTTTCTAGTGTTTCCTTTCAATTCTAAATGGTAGCATCACTCTATGAATGCTCAATATTTTGCAGTTATGAAATTAATATACCTCTTTGCAAGGTATCATGTTGGAAGATTGATAAATTCTATTGGAAGGAAAGAAAAGATTCAAAACCTGCAAATATATGACGTACACATGCTGAATCTTATATATTTACTTCATTTTTGTCAGAAATGATAATTAACAGAAGATTATTTATACGATTTTAAAACCGGTATATAATATATACCGGCGCCCACACTGAGGGTACCACGCCAATAGATGGCAGCACCAGTCTTCTCCTTTTATACTCTGTGACATGACAGAATTTCTTTATTATTATAACAGTTTATGATGTAATAATTTTTCATGATTAATTTATAAGTCGTTTAAGATTCAGTATTATGTTCATGGAGGAATGGGGAGTTTATTGACTCTGCGCTAGGACTGAATACAAGTATATTAGTTTCATTTATTCTTTGTGTACTCAGCTCGAGTTTCATTCGTCTGTGTTTAGCTAAAATTTTTATTTCAGCACTTATCTCTTTCCTAAGAGAGACTCATCGATTTCAAAATTGCCATCTGGGGTCAAAACTTTACACAATTGTGGGGGTTAAATGTGGCATGTTAGCCTCCAAAAGACACCCGTTGCTTCGTGTTTTCCAAAATTCTAGAATGCAAGGAAAATGAAAGAGGTGATTGACAACGAATTTGTCATTCGGGAGTCACGCCTTCTTCCTTTTGTGAGGTGTGATAAGATCACACAAAGGGAAAGCTCACTTAAAATGGAAATGTACTTAAGGTCCATCTCACCCGAAGTCGCGAGCTCTCCGTCGCTCTTCCTTCACGAAAACTGCTGGTTTGAAAGCATGCTTTTATTCTTTAGGGAAATTCTTTGTTAATTTCAGATGAAAGACTAGAGAACACAAGAGAAATTCTGCGCTCTCGTTGATACAAATAGGTTGTTTCTGAAATAAATTCTCACAGTTGGTGAAAGGAGGAAAAATATTTCTAAGGCCCGTTTTAGATGCAAACTAAAATTTATCCAAAAGTTGAAAAGGAGCCCCTATGCAGCCAAAGGGGTTGAAAATCAGAATAAGAGCTTTGAGGTGTATCAAATAATAAAATTGTTTAACGGTGTTTCTTCCTGAACAAAAAGATACATTACAACCTATATTTACAAAAAATAAAAAAAGGGACCCTTACGGTCCTTGATGATCTAAAGTGTGTGTGCGTGGAGAGGGGGGGGGGCGATTCTTCGTATCATAGTATGAAGCATGGTTGTTTTTTCACATATTATCTAAAGTATAAAATACAACTTCAAAAATGCAACATACTTTCTCAGCTGAGTCGGTCGTAGTGCTTCATTTTTCAATTTTTTTAATTTTCGGCTGAGTTACATCTGCTTGTAATATTATACTAGTTCAGTTACAGCATGATACGATTTACACATGCAGTGTTATATTTGCTAAATTTTTTTATAAAATAATATTGAATTTAAATCAAGTTGAAAAGCTTTTTACCCATATTTTACATAAGTATGTTCAGCTGGGTTGCGTCATCAAAGTGCATAAAAAAACATAAATTTTATTTTTAAAATTTTAAATTTCTGCCAAAATTTAAAAAAAAAAATTGTCTTTAGACTTACATAACTATATTCAAGCACTCATCACTACAGACGCACATCAAAAGTACCCAAAATTAATTTAAAAACAAAGATTAACAGTTGGCAGCTACCTGGAAAAAAATGTCCTAGAGGGGCGCCGGTATAAAATATATACCGGCTCTCAAAATTCAGGATTTCGCTCTAGATTTTTTTTAAGTCTCAATTTTGTGTCCTTAGGGTCCATAAGTTATAGTTCATGCAAAATTTTACCACAGTTTAAATTATTTTATATACCGCCCTCAAAAGGTTAACTACTGTAATTATTATTTTCTATAATTTTATTTTTAAAAATATAAAGGAAGTTTAAAATTTGTAAAGAGAATTTATAAAATATTTCTAATATGTTTATAGATATTAATATGCATTGAGAAGGACAGGGGCTTGTAGGGTTCTAGATATTTTAAAAATTTTATCAAGTTTATTCGCATTTAATTTTATTTAAAATTACTCTACATGCTTTCTCCGCCATTTAGTTCTGTACATTTCATCAGTGCTAATTATGTACTTCTGCTGGTTTATGTTTTTATTTACTAGTTTTTATGGAAATTTGATCTACAGTTCTATTTTCGTGTATTGTTTTTTATAGGGATTCTGTATATGGATACCCATTCTATGTACGATTCTGTGTATAGATACTCCGCTATGGTATAATTCTATTGGTTTTGTTTATGGGTTTTAGTCTATTGTTTTGTGCAGCGATTTTTACAAGAGGTACTTTTATTGGTCTGTGAATTTTTGTGTATTTGTTTTTACAGGGATTTGGCCTATGGGTACCTATATTAGGTGTACGTGTTTTTGTCTACTGGTTTTACGAAGCATAGAACTACGGAGTATCCGTTCTTTTAAATGGCGATATGGCCTATGGGATATGCATAAAGTTCTGATTTCTGGCTATGGGTTTTTACTGAGATTTCGTTTATGATGCCTACAGTTCTACAGGTTTCTACAGAGATTTGGCCTACTCATATCCGTACAGTCGTACGGCTTCTGTCTATAGGATTTTACGGGTATTTGGCCCTATGGATACCCGTACAGTTATACAGGTTTCTGTTTATGGTTTTTATGGGGATTTGGCCTACGGGTACCCGTACAGCCTGGGCAGGTTTCTTTCTATGGGTTTTTACGGGGATTTGGCCCACGGGTTCCCGTACAGTTGGTATGAGTTTCTGTCTGTTGATTTTTACGGGGATTTGGTCTACGGGTAACCGCAGAGCTGTGCGGGTATCCATACGCCAATTAACCGTAAAAAATTGTTATGGGTTTCTACGGGGCATTTTTAGCAGGGAAAGCATCTGTTTTTATGTAAAACAGTTTTAAGTTTACAACAGCAAAGAGATAATTTTCAAAACATTTATAAATTAACTAGAAAGCCCGATGGTCATACGAAATGACCGCTGTTCTAGATATTATAAATTGAAATTAAAATGATTTGTGCAAAGGTGTTTGTTAATTCAAACTGAATTACCCAGGGCAGGCGGCGAGGACGGCCCTTTGCTTAGTGCCCCACGGGGTTTCCTCCTTCTACTTGCTTAATTGCTTAAAGTAAACAGCAATGAAAGAAACCACTGGCGGCACATTTCTTAAGAGCCACCCCTAGCTCAATCAATAAAGGTGATTTAAATAATAAAATGTTAATTCGCATGTCAAAGACCTCTTTGTACACAACATTTCTTGTGTAGATCTTTCCATCATTTTAAAGCTCGCCTTGCAGAGGATCATCCATTATTTTAAATTTTACGTCCGTTCTGTCACGAACTCTTGAACACGCAACATAAAGTTGACCGTGTCCAAATGCAGGTTCAGGTCAAAAAATGCCAGCACGCTCAAGCGTTTGGCTCTGAGACTTATGGATGGTCATAGCAAAGGCAAGTTTTACACGAAATTGTCTACGTCTCAATTGAAACGGCAACACTGTGCCGTGGCACCTTCACCCCATTGGCTAGTACAGTTACGCATGCAGCCAATAAATTATCGGCGACAAATAGACACTTTAGCCGCATATAATAAAGATATTTATTTATTTCATTTTATTTGTTTTTTCATCGTTGCCGGGTTTTGCCGGTTGCATATTTCCGAATTCTATTATATATAGATGTTAAATTTATTTATTAAATGTTAAATGCACGTGCTGTTGTATTTTTAATTTTTCAGGCTTAGCTTTCTCATAATATTCGTCATGCGCTACACTGCACAGGGAATAGATAGTTACGCAAGCAACCAATAAACTATCGGCGACAAACATATAAGCCGCTTATATATGTATGTAGATTATTATAAACAGTAAATAGATGCTATCAATATTTTCTTTCAATTTATTAACTGTCTGACTATTTAAATTATTAGGAATTAATTTAGACTATTTCGTATGAGTTACTTATATCAAGCAAAGCTCATAAACCGCAAAATTTCAGTAAAGGAATGAAAGAAATTTAAAAATTAGAAAATTATTAAGCGAGTAATAATCAATTATTTGAGATGAAAATAGGAATAATGAACTTACCATTTATGGAAAAGTTTTGTATACAGTGGGAAGAACTTTCCCATTTTTGTAATGTTTTGTTCAATTTAATGGCTGCATATTTCATAACATTTTTTATTTCTAGTGGAATATGGTCTGCAAAGATGGTCACTACAGTAGTCTGGTTCTCAGCTTAATTTTCATTGGTGATGTGGTGGGAACACCTTTCTATGGATTTCTTTCTGATAGGTAACACTAGTTATTTAACTGATACGTTTCTCAAACCGTGAGAAATAATCTGATATCTCTACCGATGGCCATGTACAAAACGAGTGATAGTCAAAAGCATTTTATCATTTCATTACCTTGATGAAATTCTTTAATAATTACAAGCAATTACACAGAAACTTCGTTTTACTTTTAAAGATTACACATTTTTTATCGTTAATGTCTTTGTTAGTGAGAAATAAAATATTACACAATTTTACGAGAAAGTAATTTTATTCAGAAAAACGAATATATTTTCCCTAGCAGAGAAATACTGATTACGATCGGTAAAAATAGTAATCTGAAGAAAAATTATGATTTGAAGAAATTTCACTACTGAACTGAATTTTATGGTTTAAGTGCATAGAACATGATACTTAATAAATAAAGGTAACACACAAAACGTTACAAAAACGCCCCTATGGACGTAATTTAAAATCTGAAACCTTTCAGATTAAAAAAAATTTTTTAACAGTATTTTAAAATCGTAAAAACAGCTCACTAAGTCTGAGCGGATAAGACTGTTAAATGGGATTTGAACACTGTGAACTGCACTATGATCGGAAACGTGCCACGAAGTCCGTTGCATGGCGCTTTTGTGGCTTTTCCAACGTGTAATGTGAAACCCAACCAGTTTTGTTTCACTCTCCCAGAAGGCATCTTTCCCCCTAGGTTGATAGCCCTGGTATGCTTCTCTAATAATAAAACTAAACATTAAAAGACAAAAATGTATTAAAAGAAATATTAAGTCACTATTTCATAAATGTGTTTATTAAGTCTTACTGAAGTATTTATTGACTGAATTAAATATTTATTTAATTAATTACTATCATGATAAAATGTTCATACTAACATATTCTCTACTTCCTAATGAGGAATTATTTATATATTACTGACACTAATTATTCTGCTCCACGATAACTATTTAAAATAAACTACGAACTTTAATGATATATGTAATGTAGTTATAGCATTATGCATAAATTTATGCCTATGTTTGAGCATCCTAATGGAATATATTTCTTTTCAGATGGGGTAGAAAGCCAACGTTTCTCTTCATGGCCCTATTAATTTCTGTGACAGAAATTGGATCTGTATTGAGCCCAAACTTTGTTTTATTCCTAATACTGCGGGCCGTCAACGGCAGTGCCATGTCTACCATATACGGCGTCGCCTACATTATCAGTAAGTGCTTTAGTTAGAAATATATTATACCTTTGTAAGCAAGAAAGCTTTCGGAAAACAATTTTTCCTAAAATAATTTAAATTTCAGTACAAAAATTCTGATGTATACACCACATGACTTCCTTGTACGGAATATTAAATTATATGCAATTTTCCTGCATTTCATTTAAACATATTGAATCAACAGTTAACCCTTTCCGGCACGCTACCTTTTAAAGTTGGTGTTTTGATTTAAAAAAAAAAAAAACTAGGCAGTCTAATTAGGCATAGAGGAGTACACAAGTAAAATTTTGTGAAGATAACACTCACTTATCGTTTTAATTCTGTGGGTGTGCCCAAAGTGGCTCACTCATTGAAGAGAGCTTCGAAAAGAGTGCTGAAACGAGCATTGTTGTCAATGAACTGACCGATGAGATGCGGGGAAACAAAGAATACAGACTCTCAGTTCTCCTAGATTATCGGTGAGCCCGGTCTGGGCACACCTAGGGTTCGCCATTTGATTTTAGGCAAAATTTCAAGGTAAAAATTCAAAACTAATATAGAATAAGGAGATTAGAATACAGCCAAAAAAATAACATAGAAATTTCTTTTCAAACAATTCCTTTTATACCCTAAAAAAATTCCGGAAGCTTTCTTTGAAAAATGAGGGTCTTAAAAACCTAAACATGGCTAAAATATATGGACTGCTTTGTGTTGAGCTGCCATCTACTATAAAAAAAAGAAGGTTCAGAATAACCTATAGTAACCTATAACTCCTTTTTCATTAGTTGTTTTTTATTTTTCTGTGGGTACAGAAGGAATGTCCGGACACACTGCGCCGCAAAGGGTTAACGAATTTTGAATAAAAATTAACTTCGTCGATAGCGCATAAACAACAATAGAACAAATGCATTCTTTAAAGTTCACTCTATCTGTTGTCATAGCGACACTTTGCCGCTAGCTTCACTTAACAGCGTTACATCTCATTCATTTTATAACTCAGAGTGCACAAAAATTATATCATGTGAAGAATTACCACAAGTTCTATTCAAATACTGTAATAAATCTAAAACGATGTATAAAAGAAACTTAATAAATAAAAAAGAAACGGTTTTTCGCAGACGATTCAGGGCCGCTTATCTAATGCGCATGCGCTACTAATTAATTCAGTTCTCACTTCGCGACAAGGCAAAAATACATACAAATTCAAAATATTTTCATTAAAATTTGAAAGATATGGAAAAACATAAAGCACCAAGTACAGTTAAAATTAGTTTCTACGCAAAAACAAGCTAATAACTGAAATGATAATTCCAGATTTAATTAAGTATTGTTTAATTCGCAATAATAAAGACGTTACTTTGTTGTTGCGAAGCTTAGTTGCTCTAGATTGGCAACAAATCCACTGTTCTGCTAAGTTTCAAATGCGAACAAATATGGCTGCTATTGTAACCAAAAATTAGGCTTAGCTGCACTTAAAATTTTTTAAATTGTTGATAACGCCACATTTATTGCATGCAAGTTAACTAAAAGCATAAAAATATTAACCAGAACAACATAATTCAATAATTTTTAAAGCAAAAAATTCCCAATTTACAAATATATAAGAATAAAGAAACTGAGCTCACTGAGCCGAGTAACATAGTATATATATATATATATATTTATATACTTTTGGTGCGGCCGTTTGAAACCACAATGGGAGGTGCACATTTACATGTTATACCAGTCCTATATACAAAATTTCAACGTTCTGAGGCAATTTGGTTTTAAGTTATGTGAGATACGTACGTACATACAGACGCCACGAAGAGATCTCTTCAGGATTAATTTTAAATCAGTTTTAATTTTTTTTTTTTTTTTTTTTGTGGGAAAAGAGTCCTTTATTCTGTCCATACGTACAGATGTCACGGAAAAACATCGTTACATTGCGTTCGATAGAGGTCAAAATGGATATTTTCGTGTTGAGATATGATACCCGAAATTTTTCGCGATTACAATATTTCCTTTTTACTTCATACAAGGAAGTAATAAGCGCTTAAATGAACAAGTACATTTAAGCGCTGGAATTATAACTGCAGATTGTTCCATTAAGTCCAACATTATAGATAATTTTGTACGATCTGTTTAAAATGACTTGCTTTTTTAGAATTTAACACATTCTATCCAACAACACATATCCGAATGCAGGTCATATCCTACCAGCGGCCGATATATAAAATTGCTAAACACTGGTAATTCGACCTAGTTTCAAATCCTGGCAAACGGACTGCCTGCATGGGAGTCTTTGCTGTTTTCCCCGTGCGTAACAGAAGGTATCTAATTGCGGCCGCCCCCCTAAATTTTGGAAAATAATACAAATAAATCTATCTATAAATCTCGTATTATTGATGTTATTTAACATACTACTACTTAAAATGATAAAAACAAGTGCTAAACGTATTATCAAAGTACAATTTTGGATTTTTTCTTGCATTTAGAGTTAAAATTAAGTTAAATTTCAAGATTACTAGAAATGTTGCCACAAAAATATTTATCAATATTTTACTTTTATGTTTGTCACTTACATTTATTAAGGTATAAGAAATTAAATGGATTTAAATCCAAGTATTAAAGTAAAATGTCAATCAAGTATACCAATTTGAGTACGTGCACTAGCTACTTGTATTTTTCGTAAAATTTCTCTCTTTTCGTTTACGGAAAGTTTTATAAAGTTACCTTTGCACTTTGCATGACTGAAAGGACTTCCGATCTAATATGATACCTAACGGAAATAGCCCCACCCAGTGGAAATAATTTATTGAATAGATACTTTTTACAGAATTTTTACAATGAATATGTTTGCACTGCAGTGATACTTTTACAGTACTTTTACATGACAGTGAAAATTATTTACAGTCTTCTTTGCATTTGCATGCTACGGTAGTTCAGTGTTTCAAATGATCAATGTACAGTAGTTCAATATTTCAGATGATCTTGGTTGAGGTCCTGGTTAATTGATCAGAAGGTATTGGTTGATGGATGTAAAACATCAGTTATAGTTTCAATTTAGATCATAGGCCGAATGTTATAGTCTTTTTTACAAATGATTATTGAATTAAGTTAATTTTGATATATACGAAATAAATAATAAATATAAATAATGGATTCTATTGTTTAATATTAGAATAAAAAAAATAGTTGATGAAAATAACTGTTGAGATTATTTGTTAAGATTGATACAGTATGTTATTGTTTTTGAAAATTTATTATATAAAGCAGGATGTTTTAATAAATTTTGGGTCCATTCTTTCCAGTACTGCTTTGAAGGTTTATTTAAGTGACGCTCTTTTGCATATTCACATTCGAAAACATATTGGTCCGGACTTCCTATTTTACCCCAATTGCAAATGTTAGTATCTTTGAGTTTGAATCTATTTAAATACATTAGAAATGGACCATGCACAGTTAAAAATGTTGTAATAGTAAAGGACGATGATATCAATTTAGTTGAATTTTTGGTATAAATTTTAAAGTTTTTTGTCATGTTTTAGTGTTAGTCCATCTTTGATTGCCACTGTAATAATAGATCTTTGAATGTGATTTTATAAAGTTACCGTAGTAATAATTTTTTAAGTTGAAGTTTTTTTCGTAACAGAAAAGGTGATAAAATTAAGTTTTTCAAAAAAATAGGTTTAGTGTAAGGCAAATAAAAACACAAGGAGAAATGTTGCCAAGTATGAAAATTAAATTACAAAAATAATCTTAATAACGAATACGAAAATTCAGTCATCTTTCGAACATCACCAAAAATATTCAAATGAAAAATGCTTATTTTATTTAGTTATTTAGAGTAGTCTGTATATCTTTAGAAATTAGCTTTCGGGTTCTTAAACAGAAACTTCCGGTTTACGACGTAGATCAAAAACAGCCACAATTCTGTTTCTATCTACCGGAGAGATAAGGTAAAAGTAGTTTTAGGAAGCTTATTATATAAGCTTTAAAATAAAGTAATAAAACCTTTTCGAAAAGCTGCATCAAACTTGACGATTAGAACGTAGTTGGATACCTTAAATGCAAGATAGTTTCTTTCAAAAAATTGTCCACAAAAGCACTCCTTTCCTTAGACACATAACCCTCGCATACTTTGGCTTAATCTGTAATCAAATAATCCAGTTTGATAAGAGTAGTGATAAATTTCATGACAAGCCTGTGGAATTCTTTCTTCTTTTAAGGAATACCATTCAGCCTTGAACTCCAATGTGTTTTTAAGAAATACTTCTGGTTCTGCACATGGGAAAAAATGATAGCTGTTAAAATTAGCTACTAAATAACTTATAGAAAGTTTGAAATATGAAAATTTTGATCGTTTCTGACGTTCATTTTCTGACAAAATTTGGCGGCATTTTGAAGTTTTATAAGTTAGTAAAATTAGGTTCCACTATCAAATGTACTTAAGTATATTTGAATATTTTTAATCATAAATTTATTTCGATTTTACTGTTAATTATTTTAAAAATACTGCACGATTTTAAAACGAGAAGAACTATTTGGAGATTTCGTGAATTGTTCAGACAATGATGCAATTTATAACATTCTAACTGAATTAAATAATTTTACTTTGCTCTTTGAATTTCTCATATGTATTTACATAAAAGAAAAATCTGATGTGGACGCCATATGACTTTCTTATACGCCATATGACTTTCTTTCTCTTATTTTCATTTAAACTTATTCTCTGGAATTTTGTTAGAGATGTATTACTCATTCAATTAATTCAGTCCTCACTTCGCGGCAAGGCAAAAGTAAATAAAAACTCAAAACACCTTCAATAAAAATTGTAAAATACAGAAAAACATAAACACAAATTATAGTTTAAAAAATTATAATTAAAATTAGAGCTTCTGCCCCAAAACAAGCAATTAGACCAGCGGGCAGGAAAACAGACTTTTCGATGCACTAAATCGAAAATTTACTTTTGGTCCCACTCAGCGAAAAGACACTAAAGTTGGTGCACAAACCGACTGAATTCACTATTCTACTAAGAGTTTCAAATGTAAACAAATGGCGGCTTCGCTAGGCTTGGTACCACTAAACAAATTTTAAATTGTTGATAATTCTACAACTATTGCATGTAGATTAACTAACGGCATAAAAATCTTAACCAGAACACATAAGAACAGCATAATTCCATCACTTTTAAAGCAAAAAGGTGCACAATTGACCAACATATAAGAATAAAACACTGAGTTCACCGAGCCGGGTAACATATACAACCGAAAAAGCGGAGGCGCATAACTATAGCAGTCATACAAAATCTTAAGGGGTGTTGGAATCCCAAAATCTTCAAAAAATTGTGATTTCGAATTTTTGCATTTTCAAATTCTCTACACTTTTATCTTTCTAAAAATACTTCTTAATCTTATGAAATTAGAACGAAAAACCTAGTTTTAATTTCTCTCTGCTTTGATCAATGAGGATTTTTACATAAAAACGCGTTTTTCTCCAAACGTGATTTTTTTATACTCGATTTTCTCAGGAACTACTGCTCACAGGTATCTAAACTTTTTATGGCTTATTTATTATTTTCCCTACTGAAATAAGCTTTTTGTAATTAACTTAGGGGAAAAAAAATTAAAATTTTTTTTGTGTAAGAAAAGTGCTAAATTTTACTATGCCTAACAAAATATTCTTTAATTTACTCTAAAATTCAAAATGTTTTAAAAGCTCGTTTCAGTATAATCAAATAGGTATACTTTAATTACAAAAAAAAGTTCAAGCTTGCATCTACGGCAGATTTTGAGAAAAGGTACATCGACAATGACCAATTTAACATTGTCGGTATAGAGGTTTCTGATACAACGCTGTGAGACCACTCGATTTTGAACTATGCCAGGTACCTACATACGTACGTACGTACAGTCGTCATGAAAATGTTTCTTCTGAATCTATTTTACAATCTGTTTAGGAAAAACAGTTGTTACGAATTTTGTATATAGATAGATGATTATATTGCAATTATATCTGAAATTGTTGTGTATTTCTGCATAATGTAACACGAAAATCTAGAGAAGCGAAACTTGCCGGAAAAGTAAGAATACAGCGACAAGGCTATTTAACATTGAGTAAATGCCTATTTCACTAAATTGACGATATATCGCCAAACTGGCAAAGGTTTTGGATGACTAATTTCTGTTACCGAATTGGCTATAAATAACCAAAATCGCCAAACTTGGCGATATTTTGGTTCTGATCCTCTATGGATGTTTTAACTGGAAATTGATATTTCAACTGAATATTTGTTATTGATGCTCTATGTAGCTGTGACCGCAATTCGGCTCTTCCAGTAATTTCAAGAAGCAGAAAGTAGCAGAAGTATCTCAGCGGCCAGATGAAAACTATATAAGACCGGAGAGAACATCTGCTTTCAGTTGTTAGTTCAGCGTGAGTTCGGAATTCTGAGATTATCACTGGGTTAGCTTCGCTCTTTAGATGTGCTTTGGACTGCGTTGCGTTTAAAGTTCTTTAGGCTGTATTCAGACGGCGGGGTAAAGGGCATAGAGGCCTAGTCATAAGGGCATAAAATACGGGAATTCCGTTCACACTTGCGAAAACGCGGTCTAAGCCGTAGCCAATGAGAGAAGCTAAATTCGCGCATGCGTGGATGTGTCTACAACTTTCCCCCGCGCTGTTCTCCTGCTCGATTGATTTCCCGCGTTCGCTCTGCTGATATTGTGACAGCGAAATCTTCTGTAGAACGCCGCTTCTCTCTGATTGGTCGACGCTTATACCAAACTCGGCGTAAAGTTGAAAAATTTTGAACCCTATGCCACGAGCTCTAAACCAGATTTTGTGACGTTGCACAGACTGGTTGCCTTGGCAACGGAGCTCGGCTTTAACTACTTATGCCCTTTACGCCCTCGTCTGAACGAGACCTTATAGTTTGAATTGTAACAACTGATTGCACTCTATGATACTGTGAAGTGTTGTACGACTATTTTTATGGGAAGTTTCAGAGCTGTGATGTATCTCCTTTGATAAAATATATTTGACATGTCTCCTTTGATAAACACCATGTCTGAAAGCGGTTGTCTCTATAATTATCTTCTGAACTTCAGGGACCGGATACAGTAGGAAATGGCTGTACAATTGTTCTAGGAAGCTACTGACCGACGCTCTTCCGTCGAATGTCAATGCGGATTCCTTGAAGGCCCGCATTGTTTCAACGATCTAACCGAACCCTTCCATTATATTACCAAGAGTCGGCGGATTTTGTGATGTAGATGAGGCTAGCTCAACTGTAGCATCGTTTTCAGCCATTAGTTCGAATTCTGTTGGGCGCTACATGTAGGAAGTGCAGTTTACATATAAGCTACACAAGCTATAAGCTTAGGGCCCCTATTTTTGTGGGGCTCCAAAAAAATTAAAATATAATATAGTATAACAGACGTATAAAAGGCCCCATATCTCAAATAGCTTAGGGCCTTATCAAGTCTAAATCCAGCTCTGCATGTAGGATCGTGTTCTCTTTGGTAACACAAACTCTACTAGATCCTGCTAAAAAACCTGGGGATTTCTAGTACAGTCGTAGGGAGAAGAAGGCTAAAAATAACTCTTTATTATTATTCAAACTCTGAACGGAAAAGACGTGTACTTCGTGCTTAGGATAGCACCGAGAACGTGCGGTGGAACTTCAGAATCGTTACATAATAAATTCAAAGCTAAAGGGTAGTGCTGGACTAATACTTTAAGTTAAGGCTAACAATGTTGCTTCAGCAACCAGCAAGGACAGACTCGTAACGTCGGCTGGCTAGCGAAAACACGCTTTGAATAAACTCCAAGGCTCACCCGTTGAAATACTCATTTCACTTAACTTAAAATTTGCATCCTGGTGAGGAAATACGAGGGGAAGTTGAGGAGTTCAGAAAAGGTAACATAATTTTTAATTATTAGTTAATTGAATTAAGCGAAACCGTACAAACATACCTGATAAATATTGATATATTAATTCAGAAGTCAAACAACAAAAATCAGCGTTATATTTACAAAAAAAAAAAAAAAAAAAAAAATCAGAGTTATATTTTGTACTGTACTGTTTGTATTGTTTATTAATATATGTAGTTTGAGTTATATTTTTTTTTTTAAAAAAAATCAGAGTATATTTGTATATTTTAAAAAAAAAAAAAAAAAAAAAAAAAAAAAAAAAAAAAAAAAAACAGAGTTATATTTTGTAAATATAACGCTGATTTTTGTTGTTTGACTTCTGAATTAGTATTTATTCGGCGTGTTATTGTGTCTTAAATATTGATATGTTACTGCTAAAGTGTGCAAATTAGTTATTCTGCAGATTATCTAGCTAATCTGCAGATTAATTAGTGTGATCCGTTAAAGTGCGAAAAATTGTTTCATTTTTCAAATTACATAGGTAATCCGAAAAATTACCTAGATAATCTTCACATTACCTACTAGGTACTCGTCAGAGTGAAAATAAGATTTTTTCGGAAACTACAGCAACGTTTCTGTGCCCTTAAATTACCATAATATTATTTATTTATTTTTCAATACCTAAATGCAGTTACTACAATCAAACAATCAAACCATCAATAAATTAGTTAATAGAATCAATAATCAACCAATTAAAAATTATAATACAAAGAATAAAACGGTTTAGAATATTATTGCAACTAAGGAAATTAACATAATGTTATTTATTTATTTTTCGATATTTAAAGAATTAAATTAATACAATCAAGGAGAGGGTGGGAAAGAAAATAAGAGAAACTTTTTAATTTTAACGAGGCGAAAGCCATTAACGTGCACATTACCTAGGTAAAATGTGAAGAACTCTTGATTCCGCCCTTGAACGGAGCAAATCAGTTAATCTGCAGATTAGCTAGGTAATGTGCCACATTAACGATTTTCGAGCTTTAGCGGTAACAGATACACAAATAAGAGATTATTATTATTATTGAAATTATTAATTTTTAACAGGTGTTATGTAATTAAGATGTAATTATCAAGATGAAAGATAAAATGGAAAACGTATTAGTTTCCTCATATGTTTAAAAATTTTTTATTATGTTCCTAAATCAGACAAATGTGTATTTTTTGTTTATTTCCGTAGTTCTCGAACTAGTAAATCCTGATATGCGGACTCGAATGAACGGAATTTCGACCACTTCTTGGACGATTGGTCTTTGCCTTCTGCCTTTAATCGCATGGTTAACAAGAAATTGGATCCATCTCAGCATAACTACATCTGCCACGGCTGCGGCATTACTCTTATTCTGGAAGTAAGAGAATATTTACAAAAATTTGCTTCTAAATAAACACTAGCTATAAAAAATTTCTAAAAAGTAAAATCATAATCTCCAGTTTAAAACATTCTGCTTAAATAATCTGTTATAGTAATCTTTTTTAAAATTTTAATTTATTTTTTTTTAAGATTACTATCTTTTGAATGGTAACTTTTTTCATCATATGCATAATAATAAGCACTGTTTGTACAGTATATTGCATATGCAAGAATAGTTTTAATCTTACTATATATATTTCAGTCTTTTTTGTTTTGTTGTGTTTTCTCTTTATTATTCTCTTTATTTTTTATTATTATTTTATCATTTAATCATTTTTATTTTATTATCTTATTAGTTTTATCTTATTATCTTGTTATTTATCTTATTATCTGGGGCATGAATGGAGAGCCCGATACGAAGGTATAAATTATCCTGCTTTATTATCTGAATTATTATGAATGAATCAGAAAAATGTCCACACATAGTTATTAATATATAGTTGTTGGGCAACCCCTCAAGGATGACACAGTCCACAGGATAATTTAGGCAATCCTGGCACATCACTGTAACTGGAACAAAGTTCAACCTTTTACACGATTGCTGACGCTACTCTCAGTTTGTGAACACCACCATTCGTCCAAAACTCCTGGAAGGTTCGTCAATGTTGCCTCCGGAGAACGTCTGCTCCTAGCTCTCTGATCCTCTGCGCTGGCAGGAAACTGAAGGAACGTCAGTCCTTGGCTGCTGGGCATACTTCTTATACAGAAATACAAATAATTTTAAAAGAAAAATCTATAATCCTTCTAAAAATTGTCGCCCATTATGCCGCTGAAAATTGATTAGTGAAAATATAAAGAAAGAAATTAAGAACAAATTTTTCACAAAGACTAAAAATTGAAATTCAATTGAACATCATAAAAATCCTATAAATGTAGAATAAGAATATTTTAAAATGTAAAAATTAAAATAAACGATGATAAGAAAAACCAGATCGGAATTTAAATGAACAGGGAAGAAGAGGAATCTAATCAACTTTGGCATAACGTCTTCAGGAGGAGGTATGTCGAACTCAATTACAAGGTATTTCTCTCACCTTCTTCGCGAGCCTTCCTGGTGTAGTGTTTCTGCCCACTGGGGCCGGTATTCCAGAGGTCCTCGGTTCGATTCCCGACGAAGGCGTTGTTGATTTTTCATTTCCCCGGCTTTTCCAAATAATCCTATTGTCGCCACAACAGTTCCCTTTCCAAAACAAAATCTTGCTTTTTTGTATAGTTTTTGTGAAAAATTTGTTCTAAATTTCTTTATATATATAAATACAGGGTGTTTCGTAGATCATGGGACAAAGTTGGAGGGGTGGTGGAGCGTACTAAAATATGCAATTTTTTTCTATAGGAATGTAGGTTCTAAAGTGATAGGCTAAGGCAGGAACACAAAAACACGGCACGAGAGGAAAATGTGTTTATGTACAAAATCAGCGCAAAGTGTTTTTTTGTAGCAATACAGTATTCGCAATAAATCTTCAAAACCTCTTGCAGAAAAATATGATAACATAAGCCATTTGTACGTGCAGTTAAGAGGTATGGGCCTATGAGGTAGTCGTTAACAATACCCGCCCACACATTCACGGAGAAGCGGGTTTGGAATGCAATGTGGACGTGTACTGTGTTTGGATTATGAGTTGCTCACGCGTGCATGTTGTGGCTATTGAAGTGCCATCCTGTGAGAAAGTTGCCTCGTCCGTGAATAGCACATCCGACGGGAAATCCGCCTGCCCCGCACACTGCTGCAAGAACCAATGACAGAAATGAACTCGAAGAGGGTAATCTGTCTCTTGCAAGGCTTGGACTCTCTGCAAATGGTATGGGTGCAAACCATTTTCATGCAATATTCTCCAAATGGTGGAATGGTTCAGCTGCAGACGACGTGCAATAGCTCTTGCACTTGTCTGAGGTGATCCATGCACAATGTTTAAGATGGATTCTTCAATGCGAGGTTGTCGTGCACTTCTTCCACTCCTAGTGTCAGAGGTGGCTTCAAATCACCCTTTTTCTCACAGAGACCGATGCAACCTCTCGAACATTGTGTGCTTCGGCATACGCCTGTTCGGAAATTTTTCCTGGTATGTAGCTCTGCTCTGCCGTTCCCATTAGCAGCACCGTACATGAGATGCATGTCAGCTTTTTCCCTGTGCATAAACTCACCCATAACGTTCTACATCAAAGTTTCGAATGATCCTCTGATGCATCGGATCGTGGTTTGTGCGCCTCACTACCACTGCATTGCCAGCCAATTACAGCATTAGTTCCTATTACTGTTAGTGTTTCCTTTTTTGAACATTTATTGTGAATACTGTATTGCTGCAAAGAAGCACTTTGCGTTGATTTTGTAAATAAACACATTTTCCTCTCTTGTCGTTTTTTGCGTTCCTGCCTTAACCCGTCACTTTAGACCCTACATTCCTATACAAAAAATGCATGTTTTAGTACGCTCCACTACCCCTCCAAGTTTGTCCTATGATCTATGAAACACCCTGTATAATTACAAAACAATTCTTTTGAAAACAAAACACAAACATGCCTAATATTTTCGCGCATTAAGCAAAAAGAAAATTGTCATTAAAGACATAAAGTAAGAAATTTAGAACTGATATTTCACAAAGACCAGAAATTGAAATTCATAATTAATAAATTTCAAATAATGATATAAATGCAATATCTTTGTTTTAAAATTCTTATTTTATAATGTTAAAAACGAAAACATTTCAAAGAATCAAAACCTCACTCCAAAAATGTTTTTTGAAATTTAATGAAAAATGAACAAAAACAGAAGATGAATTCATTTAACCTCAGTGTCACTTCTTTGGGGGGGAGGGGGAACTTTGAAATTTAAAATCTCTCTTTTGCAAATATACCTGTTTTTCTGTATCCAGAATTAGCTGATGGACCATTTCAATGTGTTTTAATTATAATTATAATACTTCACCCGAAAATTCTGGCCTTTCCCCAAAGCAAAAGGAAAACTAATTAGTAAAATCTAATTAGAAAAATTTGGAATAATCTTAAATAAATAGAATTATATATATGCTATTTATTTATTTTTATTTTTTCCTTTCTCCCAAATGCTAAATGAAGAAACTTGCTAAATGCACAGAGCAACATAAAAATCACTGTGAATAATGTAAGAGATTGTGCGGCATATAATATGTTATGTAACATAACTTTGTGTGTAATCTGTAATGTTCCAAGTTATATCACTGTGAATAAAGTAAGAGCCTAACGGAACACGAATTTGTGTACTATGTGATATTTTAAGTAAATTAACAGTGCGTAACCTGTAATGATTTAGGTTGTTTCAGTAAATGCAAGTCAGCTGATCGCTTTTTTTTCCTCGGGATGACATTAATCTGTTAGGCACTCCAGCTTTAGGTTGGACATCATCTAGACGACGAGAAGTATTGTATTTATGGATACATTTTTACGAGAAGTGTTCTTCCTGCAACTTCAATTTACTATCGACGTGCTGCTGCCGGATTATTCCAATATATAAGAGTATTAGGGAACTAATCAGGAAGCTTAATTTATATTAAAAATGGAGCGTTAAAGCTCTAGCATAAACTCTTCTAAACGTGTGAATAAACACTGACCGAAAACAAATATATTATGAACAGAAGTAAATACACAAAATATAAACGAGTAAAATTCGTGCATTAATAATGATGCAAGTTAATATTTTGCACATAGTATCTGTTCCTTTATCTTGTATTTCCGTTCCGAAAATCAATCTTCTAGTAAATCAAAATAGAATTTGAAGTTCTGGCAAATAGGGAAATGTCGTTGCATCATTAAATACTGCTATAATTTATAAATTTTTATTTGCATTTTAACGGCCAGAGCATTTTGGATGTTAAAAAATTGCCAATATGCACTTCGGATGTCAAAGTTCCTTAACAACATTTTCTTTTACGATTAACAACTGTATTGAGATATATACTTTTGCGCCGTCTTTCTCATATTACAATGTGCTGTAGTATATTTATTTCAGAGAAGGAAACCTGAAAAATGCCCTCGCCAACATTCAAACTCCGTACTCCCCATTTGCCAGCTAGACTTGCTTCCAATTACACCACAAAAGCATGTGGTAAGGAGAGAGAAAATTTCTTACAAGTTGACAAATTTAGGACTGTCTCATAATTTAATATCCTCGAAAACTGAGAATTCGGTGGAGATATACTTTACACTATGCTTTACTTCAAAAGAACTAAGTGGCTATCGAAAGTTACGATGCAATGCTGTACCTAAGTCCTTAGAAATAAAGTCTGCCTCAGTTTGACCCTGCGTACAGCTGAGCAAAGTTATTCATTTATACCAACACTTCATTTTCTAAATGCAGCGCACCTGTGTTCTCCATAGCCAAAGGTCAAAGGACAGTTCCTTACAAACGCATTTTATTCTGTGAGTTAAAATATACAAGCTGTTGTTAAAAAGGATAAAAGTAACTATTAACATTCGGTTCGTCAACTAATAATCTTAATTCTGAATTTAGTTTTTGGTCATTGGACTGATTTGCAGTGACAATCAAGCATTTTAAACTGGGTAAAATTATTCTCTAGGACAGGGGTTCTCAACCGGTGGTTCGCATATCATTGAGGTACGCAAGAGAAAAATAGGTGATACGCAAAAGAAAAAGTATTTTTAACTATTAAATTCAAAAACCTCGTGAAGAAAAAGAAAAATTGATAGAAATTTCCTGTGATCGAACTCGAACTGAATATTTCAAAAATAATACAGTTGTTAACTTTTGTCTGAACCCAAAAATAACTTTAAAGGCATTTCAAAAAAAGGTATTAAATTTTTATCGCCTTTTTGCACAACCTATTTGTGTGAACAAAGTTTTTCTTCCATGTTATTTTTAAAAATTAAATGCAGAACAAAATTAAAAGTGGATTCTAATTTCCTGTTAAAACTAAGTCCTGCCAAAGCAGGTAGACTTTGTATGTAAATAGTTTTTACGCTTGTGAAACGTTTCAGTGTATAGCAAATTATGTTTTTCAGCATTTCACTTTCCAATTATTGCTTATCAGAAGAATAATTTTTATGAAATTTTAAAAATGCCTTACAATACATCCTGCAAGAGATGGCACAATTAGAGCTCCAGTCAACTAAAATGCTTTTCATCCCTAGTAATAGATGGCGCCACACGACGCCTTATTGTTCAAAGTTTATTTATTCTATGGACGGCGGCGCAGGAGCCTCCGTCGTTAATAATCTCTTGGGTTCTAGCACAGCATGTGCACAAGTACTTTCATAGTATTGGATACAACTTTCTTGATTTCTCAAGCATTTAAAAGTCAAGTATAATATATTGGTAAAGGCCGTTAATGGTCAATTGTCTCTTACTAAGTGATAAGATTTAGACATAGACATAATAGCCAATAGGTGTGCAAATGGCAAAATATACTTATTTTTAATATTTCTATTGAGAAATTGAAAAATAATCATTGTAAAATGTAGCGGTGGTAATTACGTTTTTTAGTTTTTATTTAGATGGTACGCGTTAGTCGAAAGGTTGAGAACCGCTGGGATTACAAGGCCTGAATACCATTTAAACCCAAGACCCAGAAGCCTACAAATCTACATTCTGGGGACCTGCAACTTGCCCTATAGCTCTCCAAAATTTTGGTTTTCCCTCTTTCCTAAGAAAAATGAGGAAAGATGCTACTAAGGATCCCTTGAATAGGTGCTATGCATCGGGCTTCAGGCTGGTTTAATCAGACTCGTATGATTATGTTGTTAAGCAGAGTAAAAATTAAGCAAAATGAAAATACAATATATGTATTTTGCACCTTTCCCAAGTAATAATCTTTCAGATGATTGAAGAAAACTTTTTCTTTTAAGCGATGCTTATAAGTCTCTTACTCTCTTATTAATTCCGTGTTTTCCCCATTTTCTGTGTCTCATCAAAGCGTCCTTGTGTCTTTATGAAGTCCTGTCATTGGAGAATAAGAATTGGCAAAACGTATGATAACCAAATTCAGGTAATGCCCAGCTATATTTCTGCAAAGCACAACTGTAAGTAAATTTAGAGGGCACACTGTGCCTCGACTTGGAAAATTAAAATTTCAAAAGAATGATTAGGTCCTCTACAGTAAAATTTGTTTGCTATTTACATCATCGTTCAGTTCATCATATTCTATTTTGTTACTCTCAAATTGTTATGTCTACAGCTTTTTCAAGATGTTCTTTTTAAATGATTAAGTTTAAATTGAAAAATTCTTTCTTTGCAGACTAATACCCGAATCTCCCAGCTGGTTGATATCCCAAGATAAATATACAGAAGCAACAGAAATTATGAAAAGGATAAGCAAAATAAACGGGAAGAAAGCTCACGAAGGAAACGAACTGTTGCAGAAAATTCAGGTTTGTAAACTTAAATGTAATTTTATACAGTCTAAAATGGTAGAAACAGGACAGCGTACTTTACATATTGATAATGACAGCATGATTCTATTTATTATCTAAAATGGTATAAATAAAAGCATGCTGTTATTACGAAGTAATGGGCATCGTGGTTGTTTCATCGCATGAAAACATCCACAACTGTAGCCGTCTCTAAAGCGTTTGCAATTCTATCTATTAATTACTTATGCTCTAAAAATGTTTAACAAAATGGCTGCAGACCTGCATTTAAAATGCATTCATTGGAAATGGCCAAAGCCAATGTGCATTTAGCCGTCTCATAACCGAGAGCTCTTCCCAGAGTGCACCACAAAAGGCGACCGATACACCAAAAATTTAGCCTTATGCAGAATTTGGCCCGGCGACCTGAAATTCAGACTAAAAGTCAGCTCATACTAATCTCTAGCCTAACAATTCTTAACTTTTTTTTTTTTTTTTTTTTTTTTTGCCCCATGCACCCCTTTCAGTATTACTAGACGATCATCCCCCTTCTTTTCCCAAACTCGAAAATACCTATATTTAAATTTAAATAATTTTACAATGTGTTTTATAAATTAAGCAAGAAAAGGTATAGAAAATGTTGATAAATAACAAAGTAGATTTTTACTAGTCCAAAGGGGCTTTGTCCCTGAAGGACTATTATTTTCGTTTTGCGATTTTGCGTTGAATCACTATAAATGTCCGTTTCTCTTTTAAAACTGTTGCCACCAAATGTTCGACTGCTGTATTATATTTGAAGAAATTAAATTATGAGAAGTCTGCATAACTGTATGTATGTTTCTCGCTTTGTGATAAAACAGTGGTACCTTGAGCCATCCAATTTTGAATGACGTAATCCTACTGCGAATATGGGCATGTAGAAGCCCAAATTTGAAATTTGGAATTTGTTTTATTATCAATTTCATATTTTGTAAAACTCAAGGACTTCAAAGCGAGCAATGGCAACGTTCTACAGAAAAAACATTTTTATCTCCACCGCGGGAGACTCTGTATGGGAAATTCTAAAGATACGCTCATTTAAAAATTATTTTGTGATATTGCTGTTGAACTGAAATTTATGATTTAGGTGCAAAGAACGTGATATTTAATAAATAAAGGTAACACACAAAACGTTAAAAAACGCCGCTTTGGACGTAATTTAAAATTTCAAACCTTTCAGATTTTCTTTTTTATTCATATATATTCATAAACTGAAACTAAATATTTAATAGGTAAATAAAAGTCTGAACGCATTCCCACCTGAAGCTATGAAATTCTCTGGAGGGAATTCCGCCCTGGTTGAGAGCCCTGCTGTAGAGTGTGCAAGATGACCTTAAAATGTCTGCAGTTTTATCCTTTGTTCAATCTAAAACATCTATAGAATATTTGTATGTTGAGTCCTAGTTAATATAATTATTGTCCAAAACATTAATTTCAAACGGTATAGCAGACTGTAATATTGGGCCATATAAAAAGTCTCCGCGGTTTTTTAGCACATTTTTGGAGAAAAATTTTCCTTGTTGAAAATCAGTTTTAATCAAGTACCTACTGATCATCATTATTATCCCCCCCTCGGAGGTCGACGTAGAGAACTCTGCGAAGCTACTGGCTAGGATCTGTACCAAGGCAGTCTCGCCTCGGGGATATAAAATTTATGAACTTGGTGATTCTGAAGGCCCTGGGAAAGGTCACTTATTGCCCGGCCTCGGGGTCTGGCACGTCCTAGCTCGGCGTGGTACTAGTAGCCCGGGGGTTATCCTCCGGGTTCACTGGGTAATGTCCCGCTGCGACGGGCACCCCGAGCGACTGGTAGGTAGCAAATAACACTACCAAGCAGTTAAAAGAATAAATACAAAAATAAATATTATTGAGTCATATAAAATGTCTGTACGGTTTTTGCCACTAGATAGTGTTGATGCCTATATATCCGGCAACACTCACCCGACTGTCTCAAACGAACATGGCTTAAAAGGTGACATTCAGCTTACATTGTTTGTGAAGATAGTTTTCTCATTCGTTGCTCATGTAAAAGGTTACATTGATTTGAAAATGAGTGAAATAGGCTATGTGATGCTTTTTTACTATAAAAAGGTAAAAACGCTGCAAAAACACGCAGAAAAATTTGTGGGATGTACGGTGAAAATGTTGTGACTGAACGATGGATCTAGGAGTGTTTGCTCTATTCCGCACGGGAAATTTCAATGTCAAAGATGCACCTCGATTTGGTCGGCCAGTCACTGAAAATGTTGATGAAATTTTGCAACTGGTGGAGTAAGACCGGCACGCAAGCTGTCAGGAAATAGCGGAGGCACTAAACATCAACCACATGACAATTTGGAATCATAGTACTGGTAGGTAGCAAATAACTAGAATACTGGTAGGTAGCAAATAACTAGTGCCGTGTCCGGGAGACTTCGCCCAGGAAGTCTCCCGGACACCTCTCGGATGCGCCTCCCTCTCTGAGGGGCCAGTGCGGAGGTTGAACCTCCGCGCCTGGTTCTAAGGAGTGGGAGGACCTGTAGTGGGATTAAGTTCACGGAGCAGGAAATGCCAAAATTTTGTTGGTCATTATTATCTATGACCATTTTTCTGGTAGCTTCATAATTCTATCGGTGTAAAACTTCTGTGGTCTATCGTCGAAAAACTTGGCCAAGTAATTTTCAGCGGAGCTTCGGTGGGCCAATTTTTTACTATCAAAAGAGTTTTGCGGAGACCAAAACAAATAGTAGACGATGCAAGATCCGGGCTATAGGGTGGATGCATCAAAACTTCCCAATCAAGTTCCGTCAATTTGTTCCGAGGTATCAAAGATGTGTGTGGCCGCCCATTATCATGATGGAACACAACTACCTTTCTGTTGCCAATTCTGGTCGCTCTTTCTGGATTGCTTCGTTCAAACGGTCGAGTTGTACACAAACACAAGGGCCGAATTGATGGTTTCATCGGATTGAAGCAGCTCATAATGGACAGTGTGGCACCGTAACATCGAGTTTCTTTTTTGGATCCTTCTCTTTTCAAATGATTCCAAATTGTCATGTGGTTGATGTTTAGTGCCTCCGCTATTTCCTGACAGCTTGCGTGCCGGTCTTGCTCCACCAGTTGCAAAATTTCATCAACATTTTCAGTGACTGGCCGACCAAATCGAGGTGCATCTTTGACATTGAAATTTCCCGTGCGGAATAGAGCAAACACTCCTAGATCCATCGTTCAGTCACAACATTTTCACCGTACATCCCACAAATTTTTCTGCGTGTTTTTGCAGCGTTTTTACCTTTTTATAGTAAAAAAGCATCACATAGCCTATTTCACTCATTTTCAAATCAATGTAACCTTTTACATGAGCAACGAATGAGAAAACTATCTTCACAAACAATGTAAGCTGAATGTCACCTTTTAAGCCATGTTCGTTTGAGACAGTCGGGTGAGTGTTGCCGGATATATAGGCATCAACACTATCTAGTGGCAAAAACCGTACAGACATTTTATATGACGCAATAATATTTATTTTTGTATTTATTCTTTTAACTGCTTGGTATTGCTGTAATTCTCAACTGCTAATAGATTTTGTTAATAAAATTGACATTTCTTATTTTTGTCAGGGAATTTTTCCTGATTTATCTTGTATTACTTTTCGTAGTTTGCCAATTGTCCTTACTCGAACCTGTAAAAATTCCATTTCCAGCATTCTTTAAGGGCACTATTCCATCACTGTCATATCAAAAGATGTAGCTGGATTATGAGCGAGTTCTTCTTTTAGGTGGAGTTCATATTCTTTTACAGTGTACGGAAAAAAAGCTAGGATTTATATTTTTAATAAAAGAGAGTCAAAACTTTGTTTTTATAATAGGTAGAGGGTTTTTACATTTTATCTGACTCTTTAATTTACTGTTTTATGAAAAATCAGGGATGATCACAAACTCTTTACTAAAACTTTCAAATTTCACTTTAATTAAAATAAGTTTCAAAATCTTTTTCTATTCATTTAGATTTTTTTTTATAAAAAATTGACCACATTCCATTGCAGTCATTCATATATATAGCCATATGTAATATCAAGGAATTTTTGTATTTCTTGATAATAAAATAAATGATTTCGGTAAAGAATTTGAATCTGGTCATACGCACTGCCACAAGTCTGGGAAAAATGCGTTGGATATTGTACTTCGTTTTGCTTCTTTTAAATTTAATTGTTTGTTTATTACTTTATTCAGAGTACAGACAGACGTTTTAAAAGTTGATTATGTTACGAGTTATGTCGATGGGCTTTCTTTCAGAATTGTAGTTATAATTTTCGAAAGTATGTACCTTTTTGGATAAATATTTGGCATTTTATTTCTTGCCGAAAACAGTAGATTTCGATTTTTTCTCTTTGTTTAAATGGCATTGCTTATTCATGCCTGAAAGATTCATAGATATTTTCCGTGTTGGAAAACTTGCGCTTATGTATAATATTTTTATCCCAAATGGATTTATATGAGCAATTTTGAGCTTATAAAGAATTTAATTGCAGGAATTAATTTATCTCTCAATATAAAGCATTTGCAAACTAACTTTTTAACACTTGCCCACAATCTTCACATGTGCAAACAACATCTGTAAATATTTATTTGATAATTGAGTAATTGTAGTGAGCTGTGTTTATTTGTTATCACTTTAGAACAATAATAATGGTAACTATATAAAATAAAATTTTCTTGGAATGGAAATTCTATGAAACGAAAATAAATTATTTCCGATGGTCACTTGAATCTAAGAAGAAAGTTTAAAAAAATAGCCGGTGATAATATAGGTATTTAAAATGAACCAATTTCTAACAAGTCATGTTCTGTTATTAAATATACAAGCTTATTTAAACTGACCGATCCGATTTTAAATGGTATTATTTTTAAAGCTTACAAAGAATGAGTATCAAATAATAATTTGACTAAATAATGGATTGAAATGTGAGGTCCATAGATGTAATTTTCTATATAAACTGTTTTGGGAAACGCTGCTGTAATAGAACACTATTTTGCATGCATAATAACGCTAGCAAACTAATACGTATTCTCACATTTTTGCAGATAGTATTTGCAATAAACTGTAGAATCATTAGGTATTTTGAAACACTTTTAGTTCAGACTCCACTATAGAGTTTTAGGTTATTTTGAAGCAGGAGTATATGAAAAATGAGCAATGCCCTCGCTGGGACTCGAATCTGGACCTCTCGAATACGTGCCGAGTGTGCTCCGTTACACCACTAAGGCAGGCTGGAAGGACAGAGAAAATACCTTATGAAATTTATGAATTTAATTAATTTGAAACACATCAATAAATTAGCTTAATTTTACGTGCCCAAGAAAAAAGGACAAGTGGTCTGGATACTGTTAGCCTTGGATAATTAGAGGCCTGTTAGAAATTAATTTTCGGTATTATTTTGTTATTCTAGAAAAAACATTTAACATTTTTATTTATCTAGAAACTCGGCGATAAAATCAAGAAACAAAAGGACGGAGAAGATCAGCATTCACCGCTGGATTTCTTTAGGTACCCGACTCTCAGGAAAAGATTTCTGCTGGTTACCATATGCTGGTGAGTTATCCTGTGAAATATTTCCTATTTTTGAAAGACACCTTTACAAAATGTAGCTTACTATGCATATATAACCTTTGGAGAAATGATTATATCGATCTATTTAAATTATGATAATTAAGGTTTATAATAATTAGATTCGTAAATTCTTTGACGTATTTAAAAAATAATAGCTTATTTCTTCGAAGAAACTTCCTTCAGCATCTTTCTGCTTTCTCTTTTCTTCTTAACATCCTTTTGCTTTCGTCTGAGACACAAGATTGATGCTAAATTGTCTATGTAATCTTTCAGGGATAACAGCTTAAATTCGTGTTATAGAATGTCTTTTCTGAATACATCTCCATCAGCATCATGCTATCGAACTGGAAGGATGCTAAATTGTCTATGTAATACTCCAGGGATAATAGCTTAAATTCGTGTTATAGAATATCTTTTCTGAATACATCTCCATCAACTCCAGAGAATATTGATTCTCTGGAGATTCTGAAGTAGTGGAGGAGAGATTCACTCTGATTTCACACCCGGTTTTGTTTTGTTTATGGGTCACAATGATGAAGAATTGTTTTGTTTGTCACAAGCCATGAAGAAAACTTTTTATTGACATTTTGAGAGAAGTTCTACGGAGCATCCGATCCGATTTTACTTCATTTCTGGCATCAATATTTTGGGTATCCATGTGGCGTAAACCTTCGACCTCTCCAACTTTTCTTACGGTAAATCTTTCACTGATGTTCATTTTCGTAACAGTCTAAGAATTTGTTACTCATCTACTCTCTGACACATTTCCTTCGGCTTTAAGAAGTGTTTCTTCAATGGGTACATCTGCACCGCAGTGTAGTCAAGGTTTATATTTGAAGGATGCTGTCCTCTGTCTGAACATGACAGCGAATATTTTGGTGGAAGCAAAGAAAAGTGTTCATAGATGCAATCATAGGTTCATGAATATTTATCAGTGTTAAGCCTTCTTTTATAGACAACGCGTTCATCGAACGATGATATATATTTTATGTAATGGAACATCATTGACTGAGAACATTTAAAATCCTAGTTTAAATCACAGAAAGGCACCTACTGTGTATGCTTTCCTTTTTATAAGATGATGCAGCTATTTCACCATGTTTCGTTACTTGACAAGTATTACATTCTACTTAGGCTTAGAACTTAGTTAATTTTTTCATAATTTCAATTTCACTTATATATTATACATATTTTATATGATCATACATATTATATGATTATACTATTATATGATTATACTTATATTTTTATATTATACATAAACTAGATGATCATACATATTATATTATCATACTTATATTATACATATACTATATCAGTGTTTCTCAACCGCCGGTCCGCAAGAAATATTTGCCGGTTATTTTTGCCTTCGTGATTTATTTATGTGAAAAATTGTGCCAATGGGTCGAATTATTAAACTTACCGGTTCGCGAGAACGTACCGAAATATTTTACCAGTCCTTGGAGTAAATCCAGTTGAGAAACACTGTACTATATGATCATACTTATATTATACATATACTATATGATCATTCTTATATTATACATATACTATATGATCATATATATTATATGATCATACTTATATTATACATATACTATATGATCATATATATTATATGATCATACTTATATTATACATATACTATATGATCATATATATTATATGATCATACTTATATTATACATATACTATATTATCATACTTTATATTCAGAGCCGTACCAAGATATTTTTTCACCTGAGGCAAAAAGGCGCACCCCTATATGTATATATATATATAGTATATATCAAAATAACTACATTTGTAATTATCAAAAGTAAATGTATTAAAACAAAATATCATAATTCTTATTCAAATTACACCACAATTCTTAAAGTATTTCTTAATCGTAGCTTTATAAATTCAGAAAAATAATATAGTCAATTGTTTATAACTTTCGAATGAAAATGTTAAAAAATTCTTTCTTGATAAATAATAAATGACATCGAGATGCACACTGGATTATTTTCCAGTTTTTCTTGCAATTCTCCCTATTGCTTTATTAATTTACGTTTGCCGAAGCTTTTTCCCCTAATAATAACTAACAAATTTAAAAACATAATTAAAGTAATTCGTATAGCCAGTTTGGCGCACCTTCTAGTGATTCACCTGAGGCAAGTGACCTTACCCTTGTCCCGGCTTTGCTTATATTTTACATATACTATATGATCATACATTGTACTACATATACAATCAAAAGTCGTTAATCCGGACTCGTCGAGACTTCGGCGATTCTGGATTATCGATTTTTCCGGATTATAGATCATCAGTTAAAATCTGGTAAGATGGCATGCAGAAATTACAAAATTAAAAATATGAAACCGTAATTTATGAAATAAAGAACAATTATGATCTAAAGGGTATCCAAATTTACAAAAAGAAAAAGCTTAATATTTATTTGTTTACTTTATTAAACATTTCTTTCGATGTAAGTTGTTTAAGTTGCTTCGTTTTATGTGATAATACTTTCTCTTTAATTATATAAATAGATATAATTTCTTGTTCAGTTACAAAGTTCCGCTGTTCAAGTCCCGTAATTGCTGTGCCGAATATACCGACTAACTTGTCAATCGAAATTTTTTCGTTTTCACTAACCTCTCTGTCACCTTCTTCATGTCTTTATCCATTTTTTGCAGCAATCCCACTTTTTGTTTGACGGACATCGAAACATACTTTCGTTTTGTAGATCCTTTGGGAGCTCCAGCATCGGAAATTCTATTTGACATAATCGAAAGTTCAAGTTTACTTTTATAAAATTGCTCTTACAGTCTGCAAAAAATAATAAGCCGCATCCAATTCGAAGATTAAGGAACAACGCAATCATCAACATTAACTGAAATAGATAATTAGATAATTTTAGCTTATACCGTCCGTTATAGATTAAACGCGCACGCGAAAACGTATTCTGCGCTTGCGCACACGCATATGTGCAATCGTAAAGGTCTTACGCGCACGCGTGAACGCCTATGCGCATGTGTCAACGCGGCGCATGCGCAGAAAGTTTTTAGCTTTCAGCTCCGGATTATAGATCATTCCGGATTATGGGTGTCCGAATTAACGACTTTTGACTGTATACTATATGATTATATGTATACTATATGATATACTACATGATCTACTATATCTGATCTAAAATGACTTCAATTAAGCGGCGTACATTAAATGTCGATGTATAGTTGGTATTCAGTGTTTGCTAACATTTGTTGTTTTCCTCTTCAATAGCAACAACTTCCATTTTCTAAATTTGTTTTCACAGGATGGGTAACTCTATCCCTTATTTTGGTCTCCAGATGAATGTGAAGAACCTCGCAGGTAGTGAGTTCTTGAATTTCTTCCTGGTATCTTTAGTGGAAATACCTGCGCACATATCCACGTGGCTGTTTATGGAACGTATTGGTAGGAGATGGTGTTCTGTTTGCGCATTTGCTTTGTCTACCATTGCTTGTCTTCTTCCAGTAATTTTCCCTCCAGGTAATGAATAAAAAAAGCACGTTTAGTAGATTTAAATATGTATTTAAAAATATTTAATATTAGATGAATGTCAACGCACATATTTTTTTACATCTGCAAAGGATTTTATTATAATCTTTGATTTGTATTCTATGATTAACTCCTATGTGCGTTATCCACCAAAAGTTTCAATAACGGAGCATCGGATCAATGAATAACTTTCCAGTTGTAACTATCTTTATTTATTTTTGAAGTTCAGGATATAATACCGACACCGTAATAAATTGTAAATCCGCGGCCGTTTACAGCCTGTAAAGTCGTTTTCTATGACTATAATAATTTGAACAAACTATTCTTATTCATAACAGGCTCTTTTATACGTGTACTTTATCATACGTTTCCCTATAATGTTATAACACACAACTGAAAATTCACTTTGGTAAATCTGTTGGTCTGCACGTGCAGCCAAGTTTTCTAAATAACTTGTACTACATCCAGAGTCCTAAGTTTAAGGACGTAAATACTATATTCGAAAATGTATTCAATGCTTTTTTTTGGGGGGGGATAGTTTAAATTTTTATGAGCGCAATTTTATATAAGATCTCGACATTTTTTTCTAGATAAGAATATTGTTTTCTTTTTTTAAATATGTATAATTACTACTTTGAACTATCTTGTTATTAAAACTGCATTTTTAAAATTTTTATCGAATAAACGGTCAATAATAAATAATACTGTACGGCCTATAGCGCCATTAAAGACCTTAAAATGACCTTCGTGCTCAGAAAGAGTTCGCCAAGTCGATCCCTTGATAGTCACTGAATTTAAATGTCATCGATTTCCAGGGGGTTAATATCGACCTTGCTGGGAACCCCTGTATTAAAACTTAAGTAGACAAAGAAAACACTTTATACTGCATATTTAACGATGTGCTTATAAAAATATAACATATGAAGATTCATATAAACCTTAATGTTGCATTATTATCCAGTTTTCCTTTGCGTATTTTCACTTTAGAAGGTTAATTCATTATCACTCTATGGAGATTCATTTAATTTGACTAACAGTTAATTTTTAGTTAAAACAGCTTCCCTTTCGTTGTCATTTTCACCCACACTTTCTTACCAGAATGCTAATCAGATAGCTCTGGTTTATTCAAATTAAATTAGAAAGAAGTGCTATTTAGCGAAGGTTTTGGAAGGTGATTTTTAATACGTGTTGAAGAGCACGTTGTTACTTCAACTTACTAGCGATTTGATTCTGTGGTCTTGAGTGCGTCTAGCCAATCAGCTTGTTTCCGCCGGCTTCTATGAGCCAGAGCCTTCCTGCGCATTTAAATTATCCTGTGAACCGTTAGGCTAGTTTAATTACATTTTATTTTATGTTCAACATTACTTGTTTGAATTAAACCAGAAGTGTTGGCTTATGCAAGACCAAGTGGAGCCATCTGTTGAGCGTTATGTGATTGAATAAAGGGTTCTTTACACCCTTCTTCTGTTTTGTAAAGACCTGGGGATAACTCATACAGTCTTCCTAGAGCTCGTTTGCTACCAAAAAGAATGCGACTTATAACCTAAAAATACTTTATGCGTCTCTTCAAACAAAGGTAAATAATTTTTAAATAGTAAATAATTTTTCTTCCCACAGAGTACAGTTAAATATGAGCTGTCATTTCAAAGGAACTAAAAACAGTATTGATATATTGCGACTGTACTTCAAGCAAAAAAGTACTAAAAATCTAAGGCTGATTTAAAAAAAAAAAAAATCAGATTAATGAAATTTTTAAAATTAAGTCAATGCAATCGGGCTGTATTTTTTTCCTAGTGTATTTGTGAACCGAATCAGCGATCTTATCAAGATTGATATGATTTTGGAAATCCTTGTAATTTGTAGTATATCCAGAATTCTCTGTGATTTGACATGAATGTTCTTCATAATATCCTAGAGGCCGATAGCTTGATAAGAAATATTCTGAATTGAAGCAATTTTAATAAATACATAATCATTATACTTACTGAATTGTTTCAAACTTGCGTATAAACTTTACACGCATCTAAATGAAACTCCATGACATTTTTCAAAATAAAATGTTATTCTTTATTTTTCACCAGAATACGAAATGGTGGGAGTTGCTGCTTCTCTACTTGCAAAAGCTGGCACCAGTTCCGCTTTCATGACTCTGTATCAACAAAGCCCTGAATTGTTTCCCACTTCACTGAGAGGTGTTGGCATGGGCATGAGTTGTACCATCGGAACCGGTTCTACTCTCCTAGTGCCTTATGTAGTCTACCTGGTAAGAAAACTAGGTTGATAAAAATCGTTATATCAACAATTACTGACGGTATGAAATGACCAATTTTCATTATACATAATTTAGCTCTTCGAACAGAAGGAAGGGATTCTATGTAGATATTTATAGCTGAGACGATCTGGCAACTGATATTAGTGAAATATAATTTCAATGTTAATAATGAATCACGTTTAAAATGTGGCCAATATAGAAATAAAAATAGTTAAAAAATGCTTTGTATAATATAGCCACCAATTAGTATTTAGAGTAGCATTTTATTGGGGCCAAAATTTAAAGCAAAAATTTCGATCTAGAAAGTCGATCGATTTAAATCAAGGTTAAAAGCTTTCTCTTTTATTTGGGATTACATATTGGACATGTATACACAACAGGGATTCTCAACATTTTTTATGCATTAACCACTTTTAAAAGAACGCTTTGTCATCGTCTCCTTAGCCTTTTCTGTGTAATACGCAACATAAAATAAAATTATAATAACACATAAATAACTTTAAAAGAACAATAAGACTAAGAATATCAATAAAAGTTTTGAGAAAAATTATTTTTAGTCCAAAGGAGCTTTGTCTCTGAACGACTATTGTTTTCGTTTTGCGATTTTGCGTTGAATCACTATAAATGTCTGTTTGACTTTTCAGACTGTTACCACCTAATGTTAGAGTCCTGCATTATATTTGAAGAAATTAAATAATGAAAAATCTGCATAAATGTATGTATATTTCTCGCATTGTGATAAAACAACGGTACATAGAGCAATCGAATTTTGAATAACGTCATCCTCCTACGAATATGAGCATGTGGAAGACCAAATTTGAAATTTGGAATTTGTTCTATGATCGATTTCATATTTTGTAAAACTTTAACGAATTTTTGATTAACAAACTCAAAGATTTCAAATCGAGCAATGGCAACACTCTACGGGGAGAAAAAAAAAAAACTTTTTTATCTCCAGCGGGCGGAACTGTGTACCGGAAATTCTAAAGATAGGCTCATTTGAAAATTATTTTGCGACAATGCTATTGAATTCAATTTTATGGTTTTAGTGCAAAGAACATGATGTAGTATAAATAGAGGTAACACACAAAACGTTAAAAAAAAGCCCCTTTGGACGTAATTTAAAATCTAAAACCGTTCAGATTTTTTTAAATTTATTTTTTATTTTATTCTTTTTGTATTATTCTTTTTAATTTTACAAATACAATCATAAATAAGTTTTAAAATACAAATCAAAGACTTCAATTACATAAAAGTTAGATAATTAATATGATGGCTGTTTTTTATGTACTGATGAAATTTTTTAAATATTTAAAGTGTTTCTTACTTTTTGAGTGAATTTTTGATTTGACTAAAGTCTACTTTTGCTAGGTAATAAGATGGAAAAGTCAGTAATGTTATTCTGTAACAATTTTTATTTTTGGAATATTTCTCTTTTAAAATTCTAAAATTTTTCATCCACATGTGTTTTGAAAAAGACTTGAGCTTGAATCAACTCTTCTTGCATCATAATATCAAGATCAAATATATCGCAGTTCAGCAATTGAGTTTAATTTATTTAATTAAGTTTCTTTATTAATGCATTTTATCGCAGTTCAGCAGTTCTTTGATAATCAGCAGTTCTTTAAACCGTACTGGCACATTCAAATTTTCGATGCCTTGGAAGCCAATATTAAAATCTTCTTTTAAATTTTGCAAGCGCTTTGTATATAAGACATCTGAGGAAGTTATGCGTTCTTCGTATTGCTTTTGGTTGTGTTTTCATGTATTCCTGTATATTACTTCTCTACACTGCATAAAAAATTATATATTTTTACAAAAAGTGTGATTTCTTTAGTACTAAATGTTATAGTATCTTTATACCGATAAATAATTAATTTAGATTTCCAGGGGGTTAGTATATACCTAATTGGGAACCCCTGTACTAGAACATAAGCAGACAAAGGAAACACTTCATACTGCATACTTAACGATGTGTTTATAAAAATATAACATATAAAGATTCGTTTATGCATTAGGTAGATTCCGTTGTAACTGCCTGAACGCAGCGATAATTCGGTACTTAATTCACTAGGTTTCTTGACATTTTATCATTGGTAAAGTTAGGAAGACATAGAAACTATCCGTTCCCATAAACTGACTTATCAAACTGCATCGTGATTAATAAAAGTGTTATCTTTCAAATCTTTTGTGGGCACCTTTCTAAAAGAATGCCTACTCACAATTCACCTCAAGTCGAATGATGATATCAATAAAAGAGCTTTAGGTTTAATTGTGCAATAACACGAAGACTGGTAACATGAAAACATTCAAAGATTTGTTGCTTAATGGGATTGATGCGTGATAACTATAGAGAATGGGTTTAAATATTTTGTTATTACATTGCTTTTATGCCAATCGATGTCCTTCTATTTCAATGTCTCTTACACGTATTTATCTGTATGCAGTTCATTTGAATAAGTAATTCCTAACGTACTAAAATGGTTCATTCATTTGTTTTTCTGTTTAATTTTTAAGAAGCAAGATTCGAATGATAAACATAGTGTGGCTAAAATGCTGAGATTTCCAACAGATTCGGTTATCGTCTGCATATTAACACTCATTATTCAAATTTTAGGGAAATTTTTTATTTTTCTCGAATCTCAATCTTAAAATAGTTTTTTAATTTATAGCATCTTTCATATAATAGTAATAATGAGAAAAAGACGTAAAATGGATTTTAAAAGAGGAAACGAATTAAGGAAAAACAAATTTAAAAATGGAATTTATAGGAATACACTGATATTTATTAAAACCATAAAAATGAAATTTAATAAATGAAGCACACAAGTAAAATTCTTGGATCCTTAAATTCATTTTGTCAACGTAAAAAAAATGCTTCAATAATATTTCAATTTTATTGCATTTTCCTAGCGTACTTTTAAATTAAAGAAAGTATTAAAGATGATTATTCTAAGATTTTAAACAGATTACTATTAAACCTGGAAGAAACCTGTATTATTTCCAGAAACTTAAGAAACAGCAAAAGCAAGCCTCTTTATTTTTAGAGTACATAAAAGCACTATAAAGACAGTGAGGTTTATCTATTTATTTTAACTAATTGTTCATTTTGAGTTGAAAGACTTTCTTATTACCCTCTTCAACCATTTTCATGCCAGAATGTAAATGAGATGACGAGCGTTTATTCAGATTAAGGTAGAAAGAACTGCTATTTAAGCAAGAGATTCGGAAGCTAGTTTTAGAGCATATCTGTCTATTCCACTCCACGTTGTGCTGTGATTATTAACGACTTGCGTTAGCGTTGAGTGTTCTAGCCATTGGCTTTGTCTCGCCGGTTTACTACAAACCAGAGCCCTTCCTGCTCGTTAAAGTATTTTGTGAGCTGTTAGTATTTTACGAGCTACTACACCTTGAAATTATCAGTTGTTACGTTCTTCTGTTAAGCCGAAGTCCTTGGCTTATTGCAACCGAAGTCGGGTCATTTGTTAATTTTATGTTTGAATAAAAAGGGTCTTGTACACCCTTCTTCTGATTTCTGATTTGTTTCATGAGACTAGAAGATAATTCTTCAATAGTCCTTTTAAAGCCTATATTGTATGCTCCTAAAGAAACACGAACTTTATAAGACTTTTTGGTAAATTTAAATTGTAAGGATTATGTTAATTCTATTAACAGTTAAATTTTAAGTTCTTTTCCTGTCAAACTCTTAACTTCAACTTACTACTTCCGGCCAGAACATAGTTTTGGAATCTTGCTGAATATTTAATGAGGAGGAGCGGTATTTAAACCACGAAGTTACTTACAGAGTCAGAGAGAATCAGAGTTTCTGATTTACGCGCGTCTGCCCTTTTGGCCACTCTCTGTCTCAAAGCTGTTATTACGCTCGGCTGTACTCAGGCCCTTGCTAAGTTTCGTAGTCAAATAAGTTAAGGGGCCACTCGATTTGAATCTTGATAGCTTCGGCTATATTTCTTTAGTTAATCTTAGTTTTAGTTTAATTCTTAGTCTCTTAAGTTCACGTCCAAGTGTCGGCTCTGTTAGTACACTCCCAGGCGGAGTTTTGTTAAATCTTATTGGAATAATAAAGGGTTAGTTACCCTTCTATCTTGTTGTTTCTTGTCACCCGAACTTAAGCGATTATTCGCTATCTAGTTCTTAAGACTCATAACTTTCTACAGTAACTGAGATTTACACAGTGAAAGTCTTACAAAATAATGTGGAAAACTTATCAGCGATAAAGCTAGCTGTGAAAATCACTCTGTGTCCGATCTACTTCGGTCTTTATCAATCATGATATCTGACGTACTGAAAAATCTTTTTGATTATTAGTGTTGAAATGCTCTGTGACTAAGAAAACCTTAGAATATCTCTGCAAACTATGCGTTCTTTTTTTAATGAAAGATCCTACTAAAAGTCAATAAAAGTAATATTTTCAAAGTTTTGAGTTATAATGTTTAATATGGTTTCGATTGGAATTCGGATAACGTGTGAAGTAAGAAGATCCTAATTTTCGAATCTCGACTCTTTCACAATATTCGCGGCGTTCAAGAATTCAAATGTTCTATCCGTAGTAATAAAAATTATCATATAACTATGCTGATAAAATGTTATCTAGCAACGAAAGTCTCTGTAAAAGCAATCTTAAATCTGTCTTTATTTGAATTTAGTAGTATCCAAAACAAGAACAGATCGTGATATCGAAGATACGTAGAATCTCGAATATGTGAGCAAAACATTAAAGTATTATCGCTTCGCTTTCCGATGATGTCTTTAGAACGTCATTTTTTAGGCTTAGGATTAGTTCGTTACGTAGTAGTATATTTTTTACTCCCGAGGTAAAAGTTGCGCTGGTATGTTTTAATTGGGATTTAAATTATCTTCTTCTAAAACGTTGCATATCATTGAAAATGAATCATTTAGTATAAATATGTTGCACATTGTTTTAGAATTCCATTGGTTCCATTGACAGCTTATCGTTTTATAAGGCGGAACCATAGAAGTTGATTTTACCTTGACGAAAAAACAAAGTTGTACAAAGGCGTTTCCACATTTTTTAGATGATTTTGATTTGTTGTAAAACATCGTCTGCTTGGGAATTCTATTTAAACTTTTTTTAACCTTTTTTTAACAACTATATTTTTGAAGGTATAAATAATCCTCTGCTACTTGATAGTTCTGTTTCATGCAAAAGGTGCTTTTAAAGAAGCAATGTGCTCTTTCCAAAGGAAAAATATTTGTATCTAGTTATTAAAAACACTTTGAAAGCCATGGTTTTTCGCTATCTAAAGCTGCAACGGTATAAACGATATCTAAAGTTAATACTGTCAACAAGAAAGGAAACAAACGTGAAAGTTTGGTTTCATGTGGAAAACTTGTTCCAAATACATATCCAAGGAAAAAACAGAATGTTTCGAATGTTGCAAAAGTAAAATCCTTAATATTAAAAGAAAATCCGCCAAGACAGTTGCAAAATAATTAAAATGCTCAGTTTCATCTGTAAATAAAGTGGTTAATGCTGATTTGAATCTTAAAAAGGCAAAAAACATAATGTGGACTGTCTTTCTCTAAGCCATAGCGTCGAACGCAGAATGTGCTGCAGAATTCTTAATGTGAAACATATATCCGATCAATAATGGAAAAATGTTGTCTTAGTAGATGAATCTTTCGTGTATTTAAATGAATGCAATAAAAAGAGATCCATTTATTATCATCAAAGGAGAGATACAAATCTTACAGCATGGTTCAAAGAATCTAAAGAAAAAATTTCAAAGGGATTTATGATTGTTCCTGGTTTTTCATATAGCGGCAAATCAAAAATAAAGACAAGGAAGTATTAAGATCAACTCCACATATTACCGTGCGGAAACAAATTTTATATCCAAATTTCAAATATAAAATAGCTACTTTTTACACACAGCGCCATAAATTAATAGAACTGCATCAAGATAAAGCACGTAGCCACACATCAAAATCCACTATTAACTTCCTGAAAAAACTGGAATCAGAAGTGATCATTAAGGGTATATGTCCTTCAGTCATATCCTAAGTCTCTATATTAAGTCTCTTGATGTATTATCGTTGAAGGTTTACGCTTTTGTACTTTCCAAAAAGGGGATTCACCTAATGTCAACCAACAATCATCCTTGGACTTTGGAAAACTGTTAAAGAGGAATAGAATAAAATGCCTTTTCCGATACTACAGAAGGCTGTCTTGGAAATCAGGGTGCAGAGAGAGAGAGCAGAAACAGAAGATTATCAAACACAAGATTTAAAACACAAAAATTTTAAGGTTACTAAATAGAACATTTTAAAACACAAAAGTTTTAGGTAAAATATTTCTGTAAATACAATGAAAACTGTCTAAAAAATGCGCGAACAGCTTTTTTATTGCGTAAGAATATTTAAACAGATTCGCTTTTCGTAGTAAATTCTGCATTTTGCCTCTTCTTAAAGTACATCTTTTATACCTGCAAATTTTCTTTCGAACTTCATGGTAGTTTCTTACAAACAAAAAGTAGTTCTCTCCCTAACAATCAGTTGCATTTGATGTTTTTAATATAGAAGATAATTTTTTGTTTTGTAATTGATTTAATATTTAGTTTATTTTATCACAAAACATGTGTCTTTGTTCTCACAGGCTAAATATGGAACGTATATACCATTCCTGGTATTCGCAATCATAACTATGTTTTCTGGTGTGTGCGCATCTTTCCTGCCAGAGACATTAAACAAGAAACTTCCACAAACTGTGATGGATGCGGAGAATTTCGAGAAAAATTTCAAGTTTTGTTCCTGCTCTGCGTAAGTTAATGATTTCAGTATTAAGAAAGATTCAATACTTTCTATTCCTGAATAATTTTACTATGTATACAATAAAAATATTTAAATCCAATTCATATTCTACCTGGAGTAAGCTAATAAAATTGAAAACTGTTTGCTTGCTTAAGCAATAAACCACTGTGAAGATAAACTCGTCTAGCAGTGAGATCAATAGTACATAAAGGCTTAGTAAGTGCAGAACATATTGCTGAAAATTAAATAGTGCAAAAAAAGTGCAAATTAAAAGATATTGAAATTAATAAAAAATAAAATATGAAGAATTTTCATCTCTCGGCATATTATCATCACATGGTTAATGTATCTAGAGAAGTGAATAAAACAGCCTGTTTCTGAACTGACAATAAAACAAATTTACTAAATTTCGAGTTTTGATAAATTACAAAAACAACAAAATAATCTGTGTCTTTACCAGTCCAACCTCTACAAGTTGAATTAAGGCTTAATACAGTATGTTTTCAATTCATTGAAATTTTAAATTTAGTATACTTGGCATGTATTTGTTGTTTTGAAGTTTTGGCATTACTTCTTTTAACGGCTGGTTTTAAATATAAGATTTTACTATGTTTATTATCTTGGATTTCTGGTGGATTAATTATTAAATTATTACGCATATTATAACTAATTTTTTTCAGTTATTTAATTTAACTTTGATACTAAGATAACACAGTTATTTCTTTTAAGGCTTATAATTTTTGAGTTCATTATTAAATTTAAGAAATTTTAGTAGTTAAATTTTAAAAGTTTCTTAGTTTTAGAATGAAATTTGAAGTTTTCATATTTATTCACTTTTTACTTAACATAGGTAATATCAATATTCACTACGCGAATAGCATGTCAATGATTTATTGCAGTGTTGTGGTCAAAGCAGGATATTTAAATTGCTGCAAATTTAAACTTTAGATGAAGCGAACAGAAAAATTCATTTTCGGAGAAGAAAGCTAATATGGGGGAGGGGGTATCTTATTTTAATTTTTTGCCTTTATCCTACATTCGAAAAAAAAGTTTTCCAAATAGCATAAAGAATTTCAAAGTTACCAATAACTGCCTTTTACAGTTCGATTAGTTTTAGAAATGTACTTAAAATACTAGTTCAAGATAAAATTTGGTAAAAGTTTAACATAGGGTTCCCCTTGATATTTTTGGCAATTTTTTAGGACGCCAAGAATGGCTCCAAAAAGCAATGTTTTCAAGATGGCTGCCACCCAAACAATACCAAAGATGTATGTTATTAAAACAACAAAAAAGTACTTAGGCAGTTTGTTGCTGGTTAGGTCTCATCGTCATTGTCGGGTAACTGCTACGCATACATAATGCAAATAATGTAATCTTGGAATTTATCCGCCTTCTCCTGATCCCAATACGGGAGACGCCACATAAACTTTCCAAAGTAGGAAAACGAAAGTGTCATCTAACGACTGCGAAGACCCCGCTTGGCAAACTCAAGTTTAATGTGGTTACACATGCCTTCAGTTTTTTTGGTATGAGCACCAGTTTCGAGCACCTCGCGACAAACCCACTCTTAGCCATTCAATTGATCCTTAAGCTAGACCAGACGCATATATTTCTTATAAACTTCACATTCAGATAGAGAATTAATTAAATCTTCTTCAGTAATCAGTTGTACATTTCTTACCCTTTCTCTCTAAATCTTGAACAAAAAACCGAGTATTTATCTTGTCAGATATACTTCGATATACTTGCAGATATACTCCCGAGTCTGAATCATCCTCCGAATGAACGGAGGTTCCAGTCCTGTGAAGAGTAATTATATGCATCCGTGGCCGAGACTGCCTAAGTAGAGATCCTAGCCAGTAGCTTCACCGCTTTTCCGGTGTCAACTTCCGGGACCATGGAGGTAGGAAGTAAGATGGAGTAGCTCTAAACAGGTTTCTCCCGTACCCTGCTCTGAAGCACCGGCGATTCCCTACGTGGTGACCAAAACATTGGGTCATTTACCATTAACTTCAATGGGTTTTGACGCGATCGGATGTAAATATTTTGTAATTACGTCGTAAATATACATATAAATGTATATATTTTCTTTTTCTACATTACTTCAGAGTCCTAAGTATATGAAAACAACATATTTTTAAACAACATTTCATTCTGAACGGAATTAAATGCTATACTTTTCGCAGAACAGTTTCTTTCAATTTGAATTAAATATTTTCACAAGTTTTCGTTAATTACATTAGAAAAAAAAATTAAGGTAATTCGATTTTATTCGGCTAAGGTACAAAAATTAAGATCAAAGTTTATTGTATTATTAATATTAAAATTATGCATTATTTCTTTTTTATTTACAGAGCTTCTTCCTAAAATACTTTCTTAAATATGACATGCTTTTTTGGCTTCTGAGGCATCTTTTAAATCGAAAAATATAAGTCAATTTATAATTAATGCTCTATTCGGTTCATTTTAAATTAGAGAATTATTAAAAATTAGAGAAATACTTTAAATAGTACTTAACTTTCTCTGAACATTTCTGAAAGGGAATAAAATAAGGATTTTTTTAAAGTATTATTTAAAACTTGTAACTGAGTTATTATAAAATGTAAGGGGAATAATTCTTTTAATTATACTTATCAGATTTTTTTTTACCATTAATTTAAACAATACATATTCCAAAACTCTTCATTACTTTCTTAAGTGCGCATCTCATAGCATTTGTTTTACAATGGCTTTTAACAGATTGCTTTCCACTACGAACAATTCTTTTTTAAATAGTTTTATAACGTATTTGTCAACAGGATTTCAGTTTATGTTTACAATTCAATATTAAGGTTATTATATATTTGGATAACATTTATAATCATTATAAATCAGATACATTTAATAATTATATTTCTTCACAGTTGTTTATAAATGAATAAATTCTTCATTTCAAATACATTTATAAATAATTTAATGAATATTTATGTATTTTGTTAAAGGCAGATACATGCTTTTTGCAAGCACATGCATAAATACCCATACATATTTCATATTTTTCATTTCTGGCATGTGCAAATCTTTAATTTCTGTGCATTCACTATATTTTATTTTTAATTAAGCCAAATAAGTAAAACGTGTAAGCCCAAAGGGATTATTTTTCAGATATATAAAATTAAAATGATGAGTTTAAAATGAGGAGCAGTAAAGCCTCTCCTCTAAAAAATTTTAAAAGGTACATGTTACAATAATATATGGATGTGAAAAAAATTTATTTTATTTAAAACATTTTGGCGTTTGGAACATAAAATAAAAGTAGCGAATACTCTATCAAGGATATCGAAAGACGTATACAATTTTAAATGTACCGTAAGGTATTTTCATTCTTTAAGCATAACATTTTTCTTAAAATCTATATTTTTGTAGTGCAACAGCTTATAATTTTATAAAACAAATTCATAATCAAAATCGCTGTTGTTAGTTATCGAAAAATAACCAAGATGTGATTTTTGCGTAAATGCCACTAAACTATACAAATTGCTATTATCCATCACACTATGAATGTTTCTTTCATGCGAAAGTGTCCCTTTTTCGATTTGTATGGAACTGTCCTGTGTCGAAATACTATCAGAACACTGTCAAGCGAGCTTCTGAATGTAAACAAAGAACACCCCATCTGGTGACCGAAGCTTCGAAGCAGTGCTTCACTTCTAGTGCCGGTTGGCCACTCCTTCCTTTCTTACCTCCATGTCCGGGACGGGGGGGGAATTATTAGGAGAAAAAGTTTTTGCATGGATTAAGGACAGGAAAACAAGAAAGTTATTTATTTTTAATTCCTGAATTTTATTTTCTAGGAGCTGCGAACCGGATCCTGAAACCGAACGGTCTTCTTGGACTCCAGCAACGTTGTCAGCAGCAGATCTGTCCAATTCAATAAAACTCTACTCAGAGCATATGCCGGTGAAAGACCCACCTGTTTTGTTAATAAAGCGGAATTCAACCTCGTCAATTACAGACATACCTCCCATACGGATTTCAACATTGAAAACAGAACAAAAACTAAGATAATTATAAAAAAAGATCTGAGACTTTATGAAGAACTGGAACTAATTTGCTTTTGAATTGAAATTTGGAAAGGGACAGGAAAAAGATTGAGTAAAGCATAACATAGTCATTTTTGAAAGCTAGGTGAAGAAAATTTGGCTTTCTAGTGTACAATATTTAAAAAGTTAACTGCATAATATAAAAACATGTGCTATGTATCCATAATAAAAGTCTTTTATTCACTTATGTACTTATATATTATGTTTCACTTCAAAACTTCACTAGAATTTCATTACGTTGTAACGAAGTAAAGGTACTGATACCATGCACTCTTGTGGCATAACTATCAGTGTATCGATCTGGTAATTCAAAGTTCCTGATTACATATTTCTTTACGATCAAGATTTCAACCATTTGTTTCACCAAAGTTCCTCTCGTTCCTACATTTAATGTCTGAACGAACTGAAATGGAAAATGATATAATCTGGTGATGCATGCTGAATCACCAGATTAGGATAGATCTACTCAGCAGTCCGGCTTGCATAATTCACAAGTGCACATCAGTATCGCCACTGAGGGAAAAGTTTCAAAAATGCACCAATGAGCTTTTGTTGCTCTTATGATGCTGAATGTTTTCAACTGTGCATATGAGCGCATGTTGTTGTTTATTGTTTTATTTTCGTCTGTTTCGCAGTCATAAATGTATGGCGTTTAAATGCTGCTATCATTTTAGTAGAAACCTACTAAATAGTGCTTTCATTTTATAAGTTATAATTGTCAACATTTCACTTTCGCGAAATTTATCACGCACTGATATTCAGATTAATGTTTGTGGCATCACCAGGTCTCTCTTTATACCTAGAAAATGACTCAAGTTACAATTAGCCTCGAATATTGTGCATTTACTAACACTTGTGGATTAATAGAATTTATGTATAGAATTTTTCTATTGAGCCCAAAATAACTGGAAGTGGTACAATGAATCTAGTATTTTCTTATCTCAATGCTTGCATTTCTTTAATTTTGACAGTGTATGATTCAAAATAAGTATTGTGAATCATATGATTATACCTATTTTTAAAAGTTATGTATGAGTAAAAAATTAAATATATTCGTCGTGAATAGCTTATATTAAGATACACAAGTTAGACCTTATAAGCTTAATTATAAATTAAGGTAAACAAGTTACCAAGGTGAGTTATCATCAGGACAAAAATAAGGAACCTATAAAACAACTAAATAACAATAACAGTAAGTTTAAATGACATCCTCAATCTACTCCATAGCCAGTTCCAACGCCGCCACACGAATAAATACAAAACTGACCTAAGGCGTCAAACCGTACATAATTCTGAAACTTAAATCGAGTAGATATCTGTAAATACAGTCAAACTTCAATATCTCTAATCTCGCGGAGGATAAAAAGAAATTAGATAAGGAATTTTCGGAATAATGAGCTTTTGTTTTCTGATAAATATTAAGAGTAAAGACACCTTCAAAATGAATGGCATGGAACACACATTAATAAAAATATGAAATGTTATGAATGGTTATTTTTAAGTTTTTAAACTAAAAATAAACGGGTTTTTTTTTTTTTTAGTTTTTAGTTTTAGTTTTAGTTTTAACTCAGCTGTTTCTTCAAATGTATAATAGAAACTTAAGTAACTAGAGCTTATCTTAGCAAAATAGTTCTAATATAACTCAGCAAAAATCTCCCTGAGAAAGTTGATTTCCCCGGGAACATAATAAGTAGAGCTTATCTTAGCAAAATAGTCCTACTATAACTCAGCAAAAATCTTCCTGAGAAAGTTGATTTCCCCGGGAACATAATAAGTAGAGCTTATCTTAGCAAATTAATTCCAACAAAACTAAGCAAAAATCTTCCGGAGAAAGTTGATTTCCCCGAGAACATAATAACTCACTCAGTCATTTACCAAACTTTCAATTCTTTCCTTTGTACGACATTCCTTCAATGATATTTCAGTGCCAAGACCCCATTGCTTCAGAAAGTGCAGATGCTCGATAAGCTCGGCGTATGTAAAATTGAAGTGCAAGTTTAGTCGGTGGCTGGGAATATTTCAGTAATACGAATGAGGAAAAAGCAGATATGCATTTTGTTCATTTTTGCATGATCTGACAATGATGTTCGGTATGCACAAAAGCTTTACCATGAGCGCTTCCTTAGCAAGAGGAATCTCGATCACAGGAGCTCACTTATGGCCAATTTTCGAAAAAGAGAAATTTCCATGACGACAAGCACAATACAAGTCGTAGCGAAAGTTTTTGTCAAAAGAGACTATGTCAAAAGAGATCATTCCTAAGTTAGGACAGTAGCCTCGCATCAGAACTAGGGTTGTAGGTCATCACCTAGCTCTATCATATAGCCCAGTTTCCGCGGTGATTTTACATCCATACCATGTGCTCCGTGTACAAGAGTTGTAGCCTAGAGAACTTCCTTCGCACGTTGAATTCACTCGCTGATTTTTGAAGCAGAATGGAACGGACCTGAATTTCTGGTACTTGTGGACTTACTGACATTTACGAGTGAAAGCATTTTCTGTGCCTACAATTTGCATGTTTGGCGAGCTGTATTCACTGAAACACAGTGAGTGTTTATCAGTTCAGAACTTCAGATATCTGCATACTTCAAGTACCCCATATGTCGACTGAAAGTTAATTTTTCCTGTATTATCACATTTAAGACGTATTTCACTCATGATGTGATACACCGAGCTGTTCTGTATTGCTTGATGACCATTATGGTGCTGTCTGAGGGAATACTTTGTCTTTCACTGTTTAGAAAGCTCCTTTTTGGCTGGCAAAAGTTACAATTAGAGAGATGAAAAAAGTCAAACCTCGATATCCCTGATTCTATTTAAAGCCTTCTTTGGTTTGGCTTGTCGAAGAACAAAAATATTCCCTGCATTTTCAGCATCAAGATAATGCATTTTCCCGTAGCCATCTTAAACTATTTCTGCGAAGCTTATCTATCTCGAACTTCTGATGCTGTATCAGAATAACGAATAATTAGCTCAATTTCTATTCTCTTTTTACCGAAAACATTGACTAATCCCCAGCGAGATGTTGTCCCTTACATTTTACGGTGATAGAAGTGATTCTGTTTTGCATGTATGTGTTCATATAAGACGAAATATTCAGAATCTGTATCAATGTTTCGTAAGTCTTTAGGTTCCAAGACCATAATGACAAACCAAGCTATAATTCCTTGGCTGTCTTTTCTTCGGTGAAATCAGCTTTCTCAAGAAGATTTTTCCCTGAGGTATGCTAGAACTAATTTGCTAAGATAAGCTCTAATTACTTATGTTCCTATTATGCATTTGAATGAACAACCGAGTTAGAACTTTAAAAAAAACTTTTATTTTTAGTTTAAAAATTTAGTTTAAAAATCACGTGAAAGATGTAACAGTAACCGTGACAGATGTAACATTTCTCAAAAACATCTGCTTTCATGCGCCCCCGACTGCGCGCACTAATGCGTTCCTATTGCACCTCCGACCACACACTTTACGGCGAACTTTATGGTTTGCTTTGGTATGATTTGTCAGCACATAACGCTTGTTGCATTAGTTTAGAAATCCCTATATGAATGCCTGTCTGAAAATGAAACTTCTGAGTATTAAAAAGTATCACGTTATTTAATTTGTTAATTCTAAATGTAGCGCTTTTATTACTCTACCTGTACACTGCGCACACACACACACACAAAAAGAAAGTTCTTCTATATCTTCCGTTCTACTGGGCCGATTAACGAAGTTCAACTTGCGTTTTTCATGTCTCGAAAGCGCGACTTAGGATAAGTATTAGAGTTATATATAGCATTGTTCTAACATAGGTATTTTGATACAAAATCGGACGTTTTCTGAAATAACATACCATTTTTTTCCATATTTCGATTCTACTACTCAAATTATTCCTATATATTAAATTTTGTAAAATTTGGTGCGAAATTTACGGAGAAATTCAAAAATTTATCTTGACGAAATTCTTTTAATTTGGCCAACAATAATTCACTTGGCGAAATTCGTAATATGTGGCATACCAATTTTCCTTTCCCTTCCATAATGCCGGAGCGGAAAAAAAGGGACCTCGTTCCTACCTTTTTACATTGTACATGAGCGGGAAAAAAGTCACATCGTTTTTACTTACAAATAATTTTAGCAAAGTGTCTAAACCATGTTTTATCGCTTTCAATAAATACGCCAAATTTCAAATCGCGCTAATATATAAATTCACGTATATCTTCGAAAATTTTGAATACAAAATTGTAACTTTTTGTAGGTGTGCTTAGAAATACGTCTACTTTAAGATGATGGTAAAAATTTTATAGATTATAATTCAACATTTTTTTTTTTTTTTTTTTTTTTTTTTTTTTTGAAAAATTTAGAAAAATTATTTCAAAATACAAATTTTAAAAATAAATCATAAAAATGGCTGAATTTTATTTGGAATGAACCTGAATTTCGAAATGTGAGAGAAAGAATCAAATATGCTTAATAAAAAAAGAGAGATTTATAAATATATACTAAACTCAATCGAGGAGCTAAAATTTTTAGAGCTAATTTTTTAAAAACTACTGGTTTCGTTTGGCGTAATTTGAATCGTAGAATCGAAACATGGAAAAAAATTGGCATGTTATTGCAGAAAAAGTCCGATTTTGTGTCAAAATACCTATGTTAGAACAATGCTATATATAAATCTAATACATATCCTAAGTCGCGCTTTCGAGACATGAAAAACTGTCAATCGGCCCAGTAGAACGGGAAGATGTAAAACTATCCATTAAGAAAACGAGTTTTAAAAAATTCTCTCACCGGGAAATTGAGTTATTACTTAGCTTGACAGCTTCAGTTTACACACATATTTCGTACATCTTTAGAGTTGACATCCGTTTGGGTTCCGAAACCTCTCCTTCACACATGTTAAGGTAGCGGGAACACTTCAATCATTTCATCGCAAATTTTTTAAATAACAGGTAAATTTTGAATTTCGAGATAACAATGTATGATGAATTTCCTCGAAGGCTCATTTCCGATGCTTCAGACACTCGCTGATTACTAAAATTTCATTTTGGTTATATGGGGTTGTCGGCTATATGTACTGGTTTCAAATATTAAATACTGTATGGGAAAATGAGCATATTCAGCCAAACAAACAATATATAGATTCAAAAATTAAATGCATGAGGCTGTAAACATAAAAAAATTAGCATCTAGAAAAATTCTGCATAGC